TGGGGTTTGGGTCGGAGGGCGGGGGGAGGGCTCCTCCACCCGGCCGCACAATTCCCACGCGTCCTTGAAGGTGCCCGGCGGGTCCCAGCCCGCTCCGAGCACCACTGCTCTCCGGGTGACTCAGCCCCCCACCGGGTTATCTGTGGCTGGGGGGGGGACCCTTCCCTGTCACCACTGGGCTTCCATCCTGGGCTGTCCGTGGCCACTCAGTAGTTGCTTCATTAGTGTTGCTTCATTAGCGTCGCTTCGTTTGCAGCGGGCACCACCCCACCTACTTACACACACTGTGTGTAAGCATGGACTAGACTGAGGCCTGTTGAGCTCACTGCACTGATGACCGCAATTGGATGCGAAATCCGCATCCCCCTGGGTGTGGGGAGCTCCTGCTCCCTGTGGGAACCAGATGTGGTTTTGGGGCACGGAGCGTCCCACCCCTGGGGCGAGCCTTGCTTGGTGCGGATGTCTGCCAGCCCGGAGAGGAAGGCTGTTGAGCAGAGCAGGGTAATGGAGGTGACAGGCTGGGCTGTGCCCGCCAGCATTTCGCATGGGGACGGTGAGAAAGGGAGAGCCTGTCGCCCGCTTGCTTTTGCGGCACGTACAGATTCAGGAGCTGTGTGTGTGCTTCAGTCTGGGAGCAGTTTTGCTTCCACCAAACTGAGCTGAAGCGGTTTTGCTTTGTGTTTTGGCCTGGGGCCCACACCTTGTGAAGCGAGTTCCCTTTTTGGAGAAGAGGAGGCATTGTGCTTTCCGGGAAGCCCAGAGCTGCGTGCACCATCTCACAGAAGTGAGAGGAAGCTGCACTCCAGAACCTGTGGTCCTGAGGAGTTCTTGAGAGAGGGAAGAGCAGGAGGCACAGCCATGGCAGAGGCTGGCGATGGAAGGAGCATGCCTGACCATCCTGTCCCTTGGACACCAAGCTTTCTCAGCCTGCTGCAGCCTCTTCTCCTCTGCTTCTCCATCCCAGAGCCTCTGTACCACCCAGAAGTCATTCCTTCGCTCCCACCCTGTCCCCTTTCCTTCTTTGGTGTTTACATTCTTCAGATACTTGCAGGCTGTTATCACCTCCCCTGTAGCCCTTCTTCAGCAGGCAGCTGCCTCTCCTTAACCTGCTGTTGTAAGCCTGTCCTTCCAGACGTCACCTATGTCCCCAAATGCTTGGGACCCTCTCCAGTGCCTGGCCAGCTGCAGGGCTGGACGTATCATTCTAGTGGATACAGATGCAACCAGCCAGAATTGCTGCTTGCCACCTCCCAAGCTGAAGCCTCGCCAGCTGCGCTGCAGGGCTGTGCATGTTGCCGGGGGTGCATCCTGCCACATCCTTGCGTCTCTGGCACCCGGATCTCTCCCAGCAGTTTGTCTTTCCTGGACGTTTCTTCCTTCCACCGCTGGGCCTTTTCCTCTGGATGGGTGGTTCAGTTTGAACCCTGCTCTCTTCTCTGCTGGTATGCTGAGCTCTCTGTGCCAGAAGAGGAAGCTGCATTTGGCTGTGGGGAGGGGGAGAAAAGTGGCTTTAAGCACGTTGTGCTGATGCCTCATCCTATGGTACCAGCCCTGCTACAACAAGAATAGTTCAATGCCAATTCGAGAGCTGCAGTTCTGCCTCTGGGGGTGGCAGGGGAAACGAGGCCAGCAGGGAAAACAGGAGACCAATGCAATTCTTGGGAGAAGCTCTCCAGGGTGAATGTGTGGCCGTGGCATTGCATCAGGGGCAGTAACAGGGCAGCACACGGTGGCAGCAATTCTGGCAGGGCTTTGTGCCAGTTCTCCCAGTGGCACGCATCCCATAAATGTTCATCATTTTGGCTCCTAATGCTTTGGGATTGTCAATCCTCAGTAAGGCAAGACCCAACTGAGGAGTCCTTTTGCTCCCTGTCTCCCTGAGCTGTTTGTTCCCCCCTTCGCGGAGCCTGCCCAGCTCTCTTCTGCCAAGCGCACTTGTGCCCTGGGAGGAGGGAGGCTGCGCTTTGACGTTTCGCCTCCTTTCCTTCCCTCCTGCCGCTCCCAGTTTGGAGCCAGAGCTGAAGTCACTGGATTGGAAGGGATAACGGGAAAAAGGGTGGAGCTGCTGCCATGGGGAAGGGATTAATTTTCAGGGTGCCTTTTCAGGGCAGCAGCAGGGCTGGCGGGATGTCCAGGTCCATAGGCATGGGAATGCGTGCATCCCCCTCGTCTCCCAGCTGCTGGCAGCACCCTTCACTGTGGGAGGTGAGGCATGAGAGCCCCCCATGCCCTTTCGCTCTGGTTTCCCTCCCTTCCCAGGTGGCTAGGGGCCACAGTTGGACACTTCTGGCCCGGTCTTAAGCTGTAGCAGCCGCTGACCCTCCCATTGGAGGGGGCGC